AACCCATTAGAATCCATGCATTATTTTATTGTTATTTTTTTTCTTTTTAGCAATAAAAATGAGTATTGTTTTTGCCTTTTCATATATATTTTACCACCAAGGAGAAATAAAAGGACTTAAAGAAAAAAATTGACACTCCTGGACCCATTTAAATCCGCATGTGTACGGTAAGTTGGCCCGTTCCACAGAGGAAAAAGAAAAAAATTGACACTCCCTATTATACCCTTCCTACAAACGCTCATGGATTAGGGAATTTGAAATGGGGGAAAGGTTTTTTCCTCTCTGCGATTATATGATTTTCATTTAAAAAGATACAACAAATGTACTTAGTGTGATTGGTTATGATCTTTGTTCTTCTTTAAAGTGGTCATGGTTCGAATCCTAGTAAATGTTTTTTTAATGAATAAAAAAAAGTAATTGTGAAGACCAAAATGTCCTTCCTACTTTCACTCTGGATGCAGGAAATTTGAAATGGGGCTTCAAGTTTTCTCATTTGGCTTTTATTTATTGTGTAGATAGATGGGGATTTCATATAAGATGCCACGTCAATATTGACTGAATTTTTCAGTTAAATACTAACGGTAAATGGTGATCAACACTTACAAAATAATAGTTCGAGACATAAATGGAATATTGAATAGTTTGAGACACAAGTGACACTTTCTTCTTCATAGTTCGGGTTTCTCAGTGGTATTAGCTCAAAAACCAAATCTTCAATAAATTTTTCCTTTGGAATTGGGGTGCCAATATGCGCTGTAAGATGGGGTTCAACACAGTAATAATAGTCTTTGATTTACGTTGACATACGAGTTAATTGGATTTCTTACAAAAATATTGGATATTCAAAAAAAATACCCAAAATATCGCAATTCAAAACATATTTCTCAATCTAATGTCGATTGATTCGGGATAAATTGTACATTTTTACACCTCTTGCCTTGTGTCGTTTGACTTGTTTAGCACCGTCATTAGAGCCATTTTACACTAGGTTTGGTGATTTTTGGCATTTTTCAAACTTTAGCATGTAGAATGGGCGAGAGGATCGAAAATCGGACAAAAAGGATCGCAAAATGAGCAAAATGGAGAAGTGTAAGGATTATGGGCTGACAACAATTGTCACGAGCCATAGACCGTGAAGATCACAAAGTTCTAGAAGCATGTTCATGCCTCACGGGCATTGCACGGATCATGATCCGATACTGTGAAATCAGTAGAGAGACCGTGAAGTGTGTTAATGAAGCGGCGTTTTGCGCTGAGATCACGGTTTATTACACACTTAACGGGCGGGATGTGCAACCGTAAAATGTGCACTCGCATGCTATATAAAGGAGAGTGAGCAGAATTTTAAGAGAGAGTTTGAAGTTCTTCTTCCACAACCTAGAGAGAGCTACGAGTAAAGGAGAATTTGAAGGTGAATTTGACCTACGCAAGCAATTTGAAGGCCAGATTTCATCTCCAAGCATCCATCCAAGTAATTAGGAAGAAGGAAAATTAAGTTTACATGGATTTCTCTTATATTCTAGTTGTTGTTTCTTCTTTAGCTATGGAGTAGTTCCTCTTTTCACTTGGATGTGAACCTTAGTATAGGATGTTGTAGATTGATGTTTGTGAACTCTTTGTGTTGATGGTTATTGTTGGTTATATGTTGATTGAAGGGTTTTCAAGCAAATTAAGTGTTTTTGACCAAATCCCTCAATTTTGGGGCAAATTGACCTAGGAGGGACAATATCCTCTTATGGCAATTAGGGTAACTCCTCAATCAATGTAGAGTGCAATAAATTACTATGATTGGTAAATCTTCGCCATCCAGGGTTAATCTTCGAGAGAGTGGAATTGGTAGTTTTAGTCGTCTTTCGATAGTGTGATACGCCCTTTGATTAGACCAATTAAGCGAGCTTGGATGCACTCGAATAGGAAGTCCTAGCTATTTTAGATCTCTTAACGTTATATGAACTTGCCTATCGTACTTGAATATCACATTCTCATCTCGACACAAGGAATAGGGGATAATCATCCGAGTGAAGTTTTCTCACATGAATTAAACATCATTTTAAATGCTTGCTTGTTTAGTTAAATAGCTACAAACATTGTTTTAAATGCTTGCTTGATGTAGATATTATTTATGACATTGTGAAGCATTTGGTTCAAACCCAACCAGATATACATGTCAAAACTCTGTAGGCCGAATGCAAAGATAGTTATCAAATTAATATTCATTACAAAAAGGCTTAAATTATACGTTTGGTCACTCAAATTACAAAAATATTTCACGTTTGCCACCCGAATTACTTTTCCTTCATATCCGCCACTAACTTTACAAATTGTTTCACGTTAGTCACCGCCCGTCAGTCTCCGTTAACTTCGTCAGTTATTTGTTGACGTGGCAAACAAAACTGCTGACTATACCGTTAATTTAATGACATATCAATTTTTTTTTAAAAATAATAAAAAAATAATGTACAACACACCCAACAACTGTACAATGACAGGTGGGAATGTGCTACAGGTGGAGTTCGACTATAATGGCCAAGTTGGAAAGATGTAGTTGTGAAAAGTTTCAAAGAACCAAAATTTCTTGAAAAGTTTAAAGGAATAAAATTTTTTGGCTCTCATGGCAGAGTTGCTTGCACCAAAATGTCAGCTAACTCATACAGGTTTGTGAGCGACATCTACAAGTTGGATACATTATATGCATGCTATTGTGCAAGTTTGTATCTCTGGGTTATCCTAGATGTTGGATGAAGCACGATGACAATGTGCTACATGGTAACATACACATGGTTCGTGGTAAAGGACGGCTTCAAACAAAAAGAATTCATAACAAGATGGATTGGATGCGTGAGAGAGGTAAGAGTGTGTAGCAAATGTAATCAACAAGGTCAATCAAGTAGTAGTAGGTGTTAGTTTGTATTCAAATATAATGTAATGATTTGACTAATGAAATGTTCTATTTGTTCCAAACATATCTTCCAAGTTTATACCAAAAATATCATCCAAGTACATAGGTAAATAAATAGTAAAAAGTTCTATAATAATTTTCCAAGCACATACCAAACATATCATCCAATTAAATTGATAAATAAATAGTAAAAAATTCTTTAATACTTGTCCAAATATATACCAAACATATCAACCGAGTACATAGATAAATAAATTAACATCACATACATAACTATGTCATCCACTAACATCGTCACGTCTCCGAAGCTACTAAGCATCCTCTGGTACCACACCCACGTTTGCGAAGCACTTGTGAAGGCCTCAACTGCCCACCTGGATAAGCAACAAGCTCGTCATAATCCTCCTCATCGTTCTCCTGCACATATTAATGATGATCATGAAGCCTAAATGTTGAACTCTATGTAGTGTGTAAACGGTCCACATCATGTGAGTCCATCAAAGATCCTTCAACCATTGGTGATGTCCTACGACTACCTGAAAAGCTAGCTTCTGAAGGTGTATGAAATTGATAGCATCTACTATAATGTCGAGAGGAAGTCTGATATACTTAAACTGACCTAGTGTATGAGTGAAGCATGTTGATGGCTCTAGGTCGGGCCTAGGAATGGAAAAGTGAGGAACATAAGTATCCCTAGAAGGTTGATGAATTTCGTAATGGTGCCAAAAAGGTGGTGGAGACGAACGCTCTTGCTAATGCGTCTTCCCTCAAAATCCCGCTTTAAATCTTAAAATCCTACGGTTTTACGATTTTACTTACTTGTTCCGATTCTGGTTTCACTATAAAATATATGGACCTTAAAATCCTACACTATTCACGATTTAAATATTTTAGAATCTTACGATTCAAATCTTTGGGTCAATTTTACGTTCCCCCCCCAGAATTCGCAAAATTACGCCTCTTTTCCTTCTCCTCCACCAACATCATCTAGTTCTCGCATACTAACCACCATCGACCATCATTAATTCACATCCGCGTATTAATCATCATCAATTCACCACTTCCCAACATGCTAGATCAGAACATTAACCTTGAGAAATTATCATTGTAATTGTTATGTGTTGTTGTGTTATTCATGATTTTTCGTATTAATATTATTCTGTCTTTATTTTTATATGAACCTTAAAATCCTACGATTCCGATTCTATCTCCCTTTTTTATTTTACTTAAAATCCCAATTTTGACTGCTATGCCACCAACACCTAATTCACGCAATTTGATACTTATTTATGCAATTTGGTTCTTATTCATGAAAATGTGATGGTTTGTAAGCAAACGATAATGTTTATTCACATAATAGTGTGTTTATTTACCCATGTTATTTATTCACGCAATTGTAGTATTTTAAAAAAAATCAGTTTTAAATTTATAACATATCAAATTGAACTACTTGTAACTAATTTAAAAAAAAAAATCAAATTTTATGACCAATACAAATTTTAGAAGAAAATATTTTGGGTCTAGTTAGTATTTGTTTTTTTTTTATGAATAGTGTTTTTGTCTCTAGCAAGGTTGTCAACCTGCGGGTTGACCCGGACCCGGTCGAGCTAGTGGGTCAAGGGTTAATGGGTCAACCGTTTTAGCCCGGTTTGGCCCGGAAATTAGAAAGAGTCATTATATTGTACTATCCTCATAAATTATATCAAATCTTATCTAACATATGAGTTATAACATATAATATTACACCAAAATAACATATCGTACTTAGATCCAACATATGGTGAAAATTCACACACACTTATATAACATAAATATTCAAATGTTCAACTTAGTATTCCAAAGATTGAGTTAGGCGAAAAGAAAAATTGAAAAATAGGCGCATTTCGCAAACTAAAGAAAAAAATGACACAATTTGACCTCCGACTCGGTATCTTATAGCGGTCGGCCCGACGGATGTGCGGGCCGTTTTTCTCATCGGATCAGGGTCAAATTGGGTCGACCCGGGTTGACAACCTTGTTCTCTAGAGAAGCCGAAGAAAACTTTCCATCCCTTCGTTAAGTGTTCAGCCCAATTCACACGGAAAAAACAAAACTTGAGCCTAAAATAGAGTATTAGCCCAAGAGAAAGAGGAAGTAAGCGTACTTTGTCACTCGATACAAATTTAGGAGTCGGACGCCCCAACGGAATGCTTACAGGCTAAGCAAAGAGTTATCGCATGATCCCTTCTTCCTTTCAGTTTTTAAACAATGGGGTGGGAAAGGAATGGAATGTGAACGAAGCGATCGCCGGCTAGAAAGGGGAGGAAAAGAATAACGAACGGAAACAGAAGATGGGAGTGCTCTCCAACAAAGTGCAGAGAGAAGATCTTAAGCCAGGCGATCACATTTACTCCTGGAGGCACGGCTACGTCTACTCCCATCATGGTATCTCTCTCCCTTTCTCTCCCGTTTTCTTTCCCGTTTTGGGTTGCGGAGAAAAAATAATTTTCTCGATGATCCCACTAATGGGTTTTACTTGTTCTTTGTGATTCTGCCATGTTTGTGTTCAGAGTTCCTTGAGTGTCTTTACAGTTAACAAGGGTCCGTCAGGGTTACTGGGTTGCTGGCTAGGTTGCATCAGAGACCCTCTGACCAGTGTGATACATCTAGAATCATGGCTTTGGTTGATCTCTAATTTCATCTATACATATTTAGTAGGAAGCTACTGAGCTGATAAGTTCATACTAAGTTCGTTGTTGGTTTTGATTTCGATTTCCCTTTCAGTTTCGCTTTGTTGGCTTCTTTACTGATGGCATTGCTCACGTATTTAGGGGCTTTCTTATTTCTTGTTGTTTCCCCTTTTCTGGTTTTGTGTTGTGTAGTTAGTTTCCCCTTGCATACTGAATATTTTGTGTCTGATAATGTGATTGAGTTGCTCAATAGACTTTCAAGGATATTAGTTTTTCATTAGGTCTTGATTCTTGGAATCATCCTGCATACGGGTGGGACAAACTGGTGTCAGGATTTCTTAGATTGAATTGGAAGATTGTCCAAAAAATACCGATTCTCTGTTAAGCCTGTGTACATTTCTACCAAGGCAATTTTTTTGTCGAATCGTCTGTTTTGCTATTTTCATCAGGTTTCGAACTTTTCGTGCAATCAGCTAGGCTCACTAGGTCTGCAGTTTCTTTGGCTTTATATGGATTTTAGCAAGCTACCAGCACTTTGAACTTGAAAGTCCTTGTGGTTGAGACACATATTTTTATGGTTTCAGAGGTTCCATCATAAACTGTCTGTTGTTGATGACATAGTTGTGGATTGCAAGAGAAAAGCTACCAAGTCTCTTTTGGAGAGAAAGAAACCGAGTACTCATCTGAAGAGCGTATTTTGGCTGTCATTTTTCCCCTCAAAAGAGAATTCAGCTTGTTGCTATTCATTGAAACGCACCCTCACTTCTACTATTGGCTATAGTTGATAACTTACGAATGGCCACCAATCAACCAAAATTGTACTCTGGACCTTGCTTATGTATCTTCTTCACTCCTCTGTGTCTTCGCTAATTCAACTTGCTGGGTTTGGCTTTCCCGTTGCCGCACATGCATTTTCTCCTCATCATTTGTCATTCATGACAAGAAAAGAGTCCGATGTTATGTGAGGGTCATAAGCATAAACTTTGGACTTTGTACAAACGGTTTCAAAACTTTCATTTTGCACTATTCAGCAACACAAGTTTGAACTCGTGACGAAATGGTCATTACTCATTACCATCCAAAAACTTAACAGACTGCTGATGTGGCTACTAACTGAATGATTGATTGTGCACAGGTATATATGTTGGAGATGGAAACGTAATCCAGTTCACTCGTGGAGCAGGCCAGGAAATCGGCACTGGATTATTCATAGACCACATAATTTTCTCATCTCTATCACGTTCTTCTGATAGCCCGTGCCCAAACTGTGGCGACCAATCTAGCCTGGATGGTGTCATTAGATCCTGCCTCGACTGTTTTCTCTGGGGCGGTGAGCTCTATCTTTTCGAATATGGAGTCTCACCAACTTTCTTCTTAGCCAAGGCTAGAGGTGGGACGTGCACTCTCGCTGCCGCTGACCCTCCTGAAGATGTCCTCCACCGGGCATCCTTCCTTCTCGAGAATGGGTTTGGCGGGTACTGCCTTTTCAGGAACAACTGCGAAGATTTTGCAATCTACTGTAAGACTGGACTGATTGTGTTCACCAGCATCAGTGTTGGGAGGAGTGGACAGGCAGCGTCTTTCATCGCCGCTGCGAGTAGTGTACTTTCATCGCCACTTCGGTTCTTGACTACCAGCTTCAGTGGTCTAGCGGTTGTGGGTTTGTGTATGTACAGCATTAGCAGGTTGGTGTCAGACATTGGGGTGCGACGCGATGTGAAAAAGATCCCCGTCGAGAGGCTTGTTGCTGCGGACTGCAGTTCAGAGTCTTCAGTTGAGCCGCCAGAAGCAGTTCCACCGCTGCCTGCCAAAGAAAAGGAGACATGAAGATGATAAAAACACAGACATTTGATAAGGTCTGTCATGTTTGAGCTGGAGGTTGTGACTTTTATTTTATGATCATTATGTGTGTCCCGAATTGTTAAACCCTTTTGTTAAGCAACCAGGCCAACACTCTGCAGTCTGCACCCGGCTGGTTTGCTTCCTGCCTTTGGTTATTGTTTTGCTTGTGTGAAGTTGGACAATATCGAGTTCGTTTCGCCGGCTGATGAGTGATGAGTGACAGCGTTGTCTGAAATCTGTAACTTTATTACTGTTTTTGTTCATTCAACCTCTTCAACCTTTAGCAAACCCGACGAAATCTTGCTGTTATTACTTATTCCCCACTGAAACGTGTTGAGCTTGCTAATAAGTAGAACCCAATGAAGCAGAATACTACATCCTTTTAATTGTATCCAATCAGCCAGTTGGATAAGTTGGAGTGCAATGTTCGTAATGAGAGACTCAAGGGACCTTGTGTTCTATCCATGCAACATAACACTTTTTAAGTTTCAAGAATATCCAACAGTTATCACAGAAACGGATAAACGTATATGCTGCATGAAATACCCTGAGACACGTTAAAGAGATTTGACAATATAACAAAGAGCATCTGATGTTCTGCATATCACTACCAATCACCAGGTTAAACAAAAATGATACCGTTCTCTTTAATGGCATCGATAACAATCCCCAGCTTGCCCTCAATCCTCTCGTTCTTTCTCGGTTCATATGACATTACATATACATCGGCTTCTTTTGATCTCTCTGCTATGAGCTCGCCAATAAGTCTACAGGCATGGTGATCTGTGAGGGAGGGCAAACTGTTCCTAAGGTCCTTGGAGTTGGTGGTGGCAACAGATATTACTTTGCTTGTCCCCCGGTGCATCACTTTGGCGTGGACAAATCTCTTTGAAAAGAACACGTTCAGCAAGAAGGGCCTCATGTACATGTCAGTCCTCTGTTTCCATGACTTCTTGTTTGGTTGCTTTGCCAGCTCACCACGAGATCTCCTCGTCCACGCAGCTCGAACGAAAGGACTGCATGAATTCTACAAAAGACATGATTCGTCAACAGTTCTCTCTTTAGCAAGCAGGTAGCCAACAGATGACAGAAGGTGAATGAAACATAGTCAACAACAGGCAACAGCAATGGTCAAGAGGAAAGGGTAACCTCATCATAATCAGTTAATCACAGAACTACTCGTACCCCGAGATGCTCAATTTTGAACATCCTAATACATATGAATCGAAATAGACATTAGGAACGTCACACCTGCCTAACAGACTTGAATTGCACCGCAAGAAACGTTATGGTCCTAAACTGGTGACACACCCTAATCTTGCTTAAAGCATTTCTTGATCAAGAGGAGGGTACACTTAACATACAGTGCTGCTTACACGATCTCTTGTTCATTAGAGTTGGTCCAACAAAAGGTCCCCAGACACTCCAAACCCAACTAAGCCGACGGGCTGCCTAGAGAACGTGCAAACAGGAATATCGACTTCTTACGTATAACGATCTTCCTCATATAGGGCAATTATTGCAAGAGAGGAACAGCTGAGAGACAGCTTCAAGCTGCTAATCGATTAGAATGATTTTAACTCCATCTAAAGCTCATTCACAAAGTGGAATCTAGAACTGCGCTTGAGCGTCGGCAAGATTATTTCAAGCATCAAGTCCTCTGGAGGAATTCATCACTGATCATCATCAGATACTCTATCATTAACAGCACCTTACCTGAATCTAGAAATGGAGGAACAAGTTGTTGAACAGGGCTAAAAAATGAAGATAGGGCTCGTTGCATACATCCATGGTTCAACATCCACGACAGCTAACCCCAGTGAGATAAATTGAATACAATAGGATGCAGCACGAGTCTAAATTACCAAATCAGCCGAGGATTTTGCCAATTATGTTCAACAATCAGAAAAATTAGCCAGTGCAAGTGCCTCCCAAAACCATTAATATGCAGAAGCCCAAGTTCGAATTTAAACTAGAAACAAACAGAGAACAACCAACTTCCTCAGAATCTTATTTTCACTCTTCTTATCTATACCAGGAGAAGAAATTACGTACCTTGTTATTGGAGGAAGGCGAAGGGTGTACCGGTGAGTCGTTAGTGACGGACAATTTCAGGGTGGGCAAAGCAGAAAACCAGGAGAGGGAAATGGGTTTGAGCCGGCCAGCTGAGGTATGCGGCGACAAGTCAGCAGACATCACCGGCGAGGCTGCCGGTGGAAAGGCACAGGCAGATATTACCCACGACATCCAGTCTCTGTTGAGTAGATACCAGACAGAGACGCCGCCGCTGTGTGTTTTCAAGAGTTTAAGGGGGATTTGGCCGGTGACTGCTGTTCGCTTGAATTGTTTTTTTAGGGGATTTATGAAAAAGTTAAGAAATTTGATTTTTTCCCCCTAGAGTTAACCCTAAATGGAAACAACATAGATAAGAAGACAAAATACAAGGTTTAGTAAGACTACTACTAGAAAAATCAAATAAGAAAAAACACGATGATCGACATGTGTCTGAACTATCGCTCTGAACACTTGTTTTGTTACGATATGGGCAACTCTATTATACATACGAGAAGCGAAAAGAAACGAAGCACGAAGAAAGGGTTAATTGCATGGTTGATTACTGAGATTACAAAAAACATTCAAGTTTGGTCACTCGAAATATTTAAATCAATTGGTGGTACTTCGGTTTACTGAAACCGTTCACGTTTGGTCACTCTCCATCCAACTCCATTAACTTTTGCTTACGTGGCGGTCAACTCCAAAGAGCAATTGCAATACGACAATTTAAAAACAATGAACCAGTGTCTCAACCTCTCCCCCGCAAACAAGACAAGAAAAATCTTCTTGATCGTCATCAATCAACTTTTTATTACGAAGAACATCTCAGACTGTAGAAAGTTTTTAATAAGTCTCCATAGATAAAATGTAAGCTTTGGCAGCACGGGAAGAGACCAAAGAAACTTCCAAGAGTGAGCATCAAAGGATGAGAGACATATATTTGATAACTGTCGAGCAAGATGACTATTCAACCTTCTGTAGAAAAGGATGGAAATCGAAAACAAGACATTGCATAAATAGTTTAGGCTAAGGCAACATATATGATAACTGTCTCCTTGACCATGAAAGACATATATTTGGAATTCCAACTTTGAATGCGACTGACTATATGATCTTCAATGAAACAGAAAGATTCGTGCTTGGACCACAATATAGTGGGGAGGCCTAGATAGTGATCCTCAAGACCACTTACCGTCATCCCAAGTATAGAGATAATGGCATCCACTTCGGCTGTAGAAATATTAGCACTGAAAGTAATAGTGGATTTCTGTAGGTTTACCTTTTGATCACTCACCGTTTGATGGGAATTGCAGAATGTGAAGAAGATTTTGGCATTCTACAGTGGAAGGATGCAAGAAGAGGTAAGTATCATCTGCAAATAAAAGATGGGATATCACAGGACAACGACGAAGAACCCACAACCATGCAAAGAATCAGAATGTACCGGTTAGTTAATAACATATGAAAAACCTTCTGTGTGCAGTGCAAATAAAAAAAGAGACAAATGGTCAGCTTGACAGAGACCTCGCTCTGGACGACAGTAACCATGAGGAGAACTATTCAAGTTCACAGATGAGGAGATATTGGTGACACACTCCCATTACCAATTAAGGAAGTGCAAGTAAAAGCCAAGTTTGGAAATGATAGAAAACAAATGACCATTCAACATGATCGTACGCCTTTTCCATATCGAATTTCAAGGCCATCCATTTATCACTACCGGAAGTTTTGACTTTCAGATATTGAAGAACTTTGTGGCCCAACAAGATATTATCAGTAATGCGCCGGCCCTTAAAGAAATTTTTTTGAAAAGGACCAATGATTGAGAGAAGAACATCACAAAGTCTAGTAGTCATAACTTTGGAAATAAATTGTATACTACCTGACATAAACCAATCAGCCGCATTTGGAGCATGGTATCAATACCGGAGGCAAGGATATCCACGTGTGGTTGAAATTAGGAAGGAAATGACTAGATGTGCTAGAAATCCTTCTTGTTCAATATGTGAAGGAGTAAATGAAACAATCTTACATATCTTGTTTGAGTGCTCGTATGTGAAGGAGTAAATGAAACAATCTTACATATCTTGTTTGAGTGCTCGCATGCAAAGTTGACCTAGCAACATGGTTTTCCAGTGATCAGTCTGCCAAAAGTCACCACAAAGATATTGGAGTGGATCTATATGCTACACCAAAATAACACAATTCAGACTATCCAACATGTAAGTTTTTGTTGTTGGCATAAATGGAAAGCTTGCAACGAAAAGACTTTCAAAAAGATAAATCCGAATTAGCAGAGGATGCTTATCCTAGCCCGAGAAGATCTTTACTCAAGTGAAAGGAAACTCCTCGCCTACCCAGCGAGTCTTTTCTGGATAGCTTGGCCGACGGCTTTAACTGATGGGTAGAGTTACTACTTAAACAAAACAACAACATATTTCTCTCCATAAGCCTTTTTTTTTTTTTTATCTCCTCATAAGCCTTTTAAGTAAAGGCAATTCCAGAAAGCAAAAATGGTAAAAGTAGATTATTATTTATTTGACAACAAAACCGTTACAGAGTCAATCATAAGAGCGGGATTTTAGTTGGGCGGCTCGGCTCGGCTCGGCTCACACATATTAAAGTACATTAGCTATAGTAGGCAGCAAATTAAACACTAGTACAAAGTTTCCAAATTAAAGTACTCTCTAAACCTAAACCACGATATACATTTCATCAAAAAGAAACCCATGCCAGAGAGATTTAACATTATGAACATAAATGTTTTAATAATAAGGTTGACGATGAAAATGGAACATCTCATTCTCAGAAACGCAACTCATCATGCAGTTGGTGTTGTTGAAACGGCGCTGTTTTGGCATTGTGAGCGCTCTGTTTGATCTGCAGCAACCACAAGTAGAAGAAACAAACACAAAAAAAAGAAGACAATGCATTACTGTGTTTATAGATCATATGTTTGCTTTCTGTTGTGAAACGCATACTAGCTAGCTTGGAGTACGCACCTTTGTGGGAAGAATGGTCGGTCGAAGAAAGGCATCAATTGGGCTCTGGGGACCATTTTCTTCCTCAACGACTTCACTTCTTCTTCTTCGATCAACTGACCATCATGCATGCCCGCCCAACCCATGATTAAGTTAGCAATTAAACGATGCAAAGTAAAATTCTGATTGGTGATTATATATGTCAATTGGTTAGTTATTTCCAACCTTTTGCAGCTTGTCTAGTTGCCGTTTCTCGTGCTCCTCAACATATATTTTGGTTGCCACCTGAACCGTTATATAGCAAAAAAAAAAAAAAAAAAAAAACCATTTTGCCACGGAAGCAAAAAGAAGATAGGATAAGGTATCTCGATAATTATAATGAGTTGTTGGTTGTATATTATACGCACGAAATAGTTGAAGATGGAACGCTTGATGGCTCTTTCTTGAGAATGGAGCTTGAACTCCTGGGGTTTCGTGTTCTCTTTCCAGCAAGCCTTCGGAGTCGGAGGGCTCGGCTTTGCTTTCACAGTGGGGAGCTCCTCTTTTCTCTACCAAAACTCACACATATCAATTTTATATTGCTTGCAACAATGAAATTTTATTGCGATTTCAATAGGTGTGACCAACACATTAATTTTTAATATAACTAAATTATCTATACAACATTTCCATAATTTTAACCCCTCAAAATATATGATAAAAAAAAGGAGCCAACTTGCAGGTCTTCTAGAATTGCAACAAGAATTGCACACGATGCAAATTTGCACAATTTCAATGATACCACACATCAATGTCATTTAAAGTTGTGATTACAACCCTTTGCGACATCAGCTTACAAGTATCTGAAATTGCACCATTAAAGATGCTCTTAGAAGAGGAGTTTTTTTTTCCTCTTAAATTAGGGCTCAAACCAATCCCCACACTTTTTGTTTATTTATTGAAAAGGTAATGCCCAGAGAATTTAGAAAAAGGTTCCTCGCACTCTTCCTCGATGCAATGATCCGGAGAATAAAAATCTACAGAGTCGTACAAAACTTGGTAGAAGGATCGGCTCAGAATAGCATCCCATATACGCTCCAACATTTTTGTAAAGTAGAAAAGTTAATGCAAGTTTAAGCCAAAGATATAGCATGAAAATTCAATGTATTAAAACTAATTTTACAAATTTTTCATGGGAAAACTAATATTAGAATTGGGTATATATTTATATACTCAATTTTTGTAAGTGTATGCTGGAACTAATTTTACAAAATTCTCATAGGAAAACTAATATTAGAATTGGGTATATATTTATATACTCAATTTTTGTAAGTGTATGCTGGAATTAGGCACAAAAATGAACATGATCGTTAGTGTTCTGTTCACCATGAACAACCAGACTGAATAAAAAAAGACACACTATAAATTACTGATAATAACATATATAACATATCTCACCGTTCCCCTTGCAGCTGCAGTCCCTGAAACTAGCGCGGATTGGGTGCTGCTCTTCACCTTTATCTTTCCAAAGGATTGGAGCAGATCGAAATCAGTCAGGTAGCGCTTGGAAAAGAAATTCAAGGCAAATTTGGCGTAGAATATTTAATTAGTACAAAGATGAAAGACCTTGAGATTGGGTTTGCTGCTTTGGATTTTCTCCATGCTTCCAAGCATTAATCAACGCGTACGTAACGTAGTTGCAGTGCAGTACTACTAACAGGACTCAACGCACACTGTAGCAAATTTATAACTCTGATAGATTAATTATTACAAGAGAGTCGAGATGAGATTAGATGAGATGTGATGAGTTTGTTAAGAGAAATGAAGAGAATTTATAAGCAATTGAGTTGGGTGATTGGTAGCTGTCTGGTTCGGTTGCCACATCACTTGCTTAATTAGTTTAGCTTTGCTTATTAAGTGCTCCCTCGTGCTCTGCCTTGTGTTCACTCTGTCCAGTGCTATTCATTCATTGCATTGCATTGCATATATATATATGTCACATTTCAGTAGTGCATTAATAGCTGTGATTATTCCTAACAAGCTACTGTGACTGCGATGTAGGCTCAGTTTGACCTGTGGTCTGTGGTAGTTTTTGCAGAAGCAACTTTTAGCTTGAGCTATTAGAGAAGTACTTTAAAAAAAACAATTGAGTGTTTGGCTGCAAAAACTATTAGAAGTGCTTTTTAATATGAGAGGTTGTGTAAAATGACTATAAAGGACTTATAATATAACTATGAATAATAATTATAAACAATAAAGTGTAATCAAAATGGATCTTGTTAGAATTCTTTTATATTAAATAATATGATTATATAATTTATTTTATTTTTAAAATGATATAAATGTAATAAAATTATATTTTTCTGAAATAAAATTAAAATATGGTAAGGATAATTTTGTATTTTCAAAACAGCTTTTCGCAGAAGCTCCACATTAGAGCTTCTGCTTTTATGTTATAAAAAAAGATTGTTTGGCTTTTCAAAAGTCGAGCTTTTAGAAGTGTTTGGCCATGTTTCAATTTTTGAAGCTGAAAAAAACCAATGTTGTCATAACCGAACCGGAGCATGACCCATTAATGCGAACGGTTCGCACTTTGGTGGTCCAACCGGCATTAGACCTTTTAAAAACCGTTAGAGAATCGGTACCTAATAAACGTTATCAGTATAAATAGTGGACATTTCTTAATCAGAGCTCATCTCTTTCCTTCGAAATTGTGAAATGGAAATAAGGATCCAGTTTGAGAGCCCGATGTTTTTGGTTTATTTTAATTTCCTATTTTCTGCAAATTTTTAATTGAATTTAACGGCTGAATGGCAAAAACCGGACGAGCGATTAACCACCTCGGCCGCTCGCCAACCACTACATAAACTGGAGCGGCTTTTGAACTGTTCCGAGCCGGTTTTGTGACCGGCTCGACTCAACTTTAATAACACTGTGAAAAACACTTTTAAAATCCGGGCCAAACATAAAATATATTCTGTTTCTTCCATGTTCTTCTTAATCTTACTTCCGGCCTGTCCCCTCTTTCTTTCTTTCTTTCTTTGTTTCTGCTACCACCAAACTTTCTGATTAAACCTCCCTCTCATCCATCACCACGACTTTAACTACTTCCCTTATGTTCCTTCATTTCTCCTCTTGCTACCTTCCAGCACAAAAATATGAAGGCAGCACAAAATCGATTTTTCGTGGCTCTGAAAACAGTGAGAAACCACCGTATAAAACACTGCAACAATGCTGGCCGCATACTAGTTAACTCAAGCTTCAAACTTTCCCACTATGTCCTCCAAAACTAGAGCCGGTACTATTATATATACGTATGGACTCAAGGCAGTTGCTGGTCACTTTCATTTCCCACAACAGATAGCTTTCCAAACCAAAGAAACCATCATTAGGACGACTCTCAAGTGGGTAGTTAACCCTTCCACTGTCAACCTCTTTCTTGTTAAGCCCGTTATCCAACCCAAAAGCACTCGCATGCATTCTCAATTTACAATCACTTCATTACTTTGATTTAATTAACACGGAACAAAAATATATGATCTCAACGCGCTTCCGACTGCAAACACGCTTGATTAGAGGTGGCAAATGGATTGGATTCATGGATTAGTAGATCCATAAATCAAATTGATTAGTGGATCCATGAATCAAATGGATTGGTGAATTCATGGATTGAATCATGGATCCAAGTGATCACATCTAATCATTGTACCAGTATGTAACATTTAAAAAGTTTTGATACTAAAATATTGGGTAAATGACACATTTGGTCACTGAGATTACTAAATCGTGTCATATTTAGTCACTAGAAAAATTTAATATCAATTTTGGTCACTCGAATTACTGACACAGGTCACATTTGGTCACTCTTCTGTAGCCTCTGTCCAACTCCGGTCACTCGAATTATTGAAAAATGTCACATTTAGTCACTCGTATTACTGAAACATGTCACATTTAGTCACTCTCCCAAAAGTTTCCGTCCAACTACATTAATGGAGTTGAACGGAAACTGACGGGAGAGTGACTAAATTTGACCAGTTTCGGTAATTCGAGTGACCAAAATTGATATTAATTTTTTCTAGTGACTAAACATGACACAATTTAATAATCTCAGTGACCAAACGTGTCATTTACCCCTAAAATATTATAATAAAATGATGTATCAAATTGTAAATTTTCAATTATATTTTACGTTGGAAAATTAGATATCATATGTAAACAAAAGTATAGGTACGAAACTGTAATTTATCAAATATCCATGAATCCACCAATCCAATTACATTTTGATCAAATGGATTGGATTAAAATAGATTGGATTAGTTGGATATTTTAGTGGATGGATTGGATTGCAATGGTAGATTGGATTGGAAATTGTCACCTCTACCCTTGATGCACTCTGCCTATTTTTCCTTGCTAGTGTAGTAAAAGGGGCAAAATGAGAGATCACGACAAAGGTATGAAGATCATGATCTGGAAGCAGAGGGGCGAAGTAGAGCATGAAGATCATGGCCTCCATAGCAGGGATTGCGGTCGCGAATTATGGAGCTTCAGACGCAAACTTGAAGAACAAGTCGTAAGGGAGGGCCAAAGAGTTTTGAAAGTTGACTCGCGACTCCTGTTGTCTCAGCCTGCGAGAAAGATAGCAGCCGTAATTCACGGATCGCGATCTCTCTAGCTAGCAAGGAGTAAAGTTGCTGCATCCAAGATTGCAGCCTCTCTCCCGCAGATCACGGCTGCAATCTCTCTCATCCAACCATGAACTTGCTTGTCATCCTAGAACTCTATATATATGGGACTCCCCCCTTGAGTAGAGTGGCTTGTGTCAGATTTCTTGTTCTAGAGAGAGGTTAGAGAGAGAAGTAGAAGTTTGGAGAAGAAGTGGAGGAGAGCTATGGAAGAGGGTTTCCAACACTTGAGGACCTTTTCTTCATGATTTCTTCCCCTCTTTGGATGTCTCTTCTTCCCCTCTTGATGGGGTAATCCCTCAAGGTACTTTGGGGCCCCCAAACCCTAACCTAGAGTTTGACGCGTAATATGATGTTTTGGACTTAATTGTGGATTATATTGAACCTATCTATCTATGTCTATTTGGTGTTTGTTCTTTCTTGCATCAAGTAGTGTGGGATTATCTGCATCTCATGTGCCCTAATTGCAACTTAAGTGGTATGGGATTTATCATTCTCCTTCTTCTGGTTTATGGATGAATTAAGTTTATGGATTTATCATCTCATATGCTAATTATGCTTTGAACCTTGCCTCTCCAATTCTTTTTGTGATATCCTACCACTTAGGATTGCATGAATTAGAGTGGATTTGCGCGCTTTGGCGCGTTAGGGTAGATGAATGATCTAGGAGTCAGTGTGGTGGACAAGGCGACCACACCCATGCCTATTAGACCTCCACCTAGGTAAAGCTAGGGCGTCAAATGGATGACCATTGACTCGACGGACTAGTGTGCGGATGGGTAAAACCCATTTGGAGGAGATAGGTTTTATCCCTACAACGTGAGCTAGTTGAGTTGACATTAGGCTAGTGGTTCTGTGTAGGAGTGGGATTGGTTGCGTGACCATTTTGTCGATCCCTAGATTAGCAATCTCCGCACCTCGATTGCCATGGATCGTCCTTCCGTCCTTTGTATGTTGATATGATCCTAATTCGAAGAGAACCTCGAACTCGAACCAATAAATCATAATTGCACAACTTCGAACTCTTTTGGGATTTTCTCCTTTCTTGAATAACACAAAAATAAAGATAGGAAGAAAATCGATCAAACAATCATGAACCCGTGAGAAGGGCCAATCAATATAGTTGAATTCCCCACAACTATATGTGATCATCTAGTTGATAAGAGACACTTAAACCTCCCAAATCCTCAAAGGAAATTTAAGCAAACTTTCTCAAAATAACTCGAGCAAACACTCATTATATTTTATAACTGAATTCTGAATGTCCATTACAATGGTTCGGCCCCTTTATATAGGCTTAAGAACCCAAAAACTAAACTGCAAAGGATAGTAAATCATGCTCTAAAAAGGATAAAGAAACCTTAACAAACAAGTGATGACAAATTCAAAATCTCCCTTAATCCATGCCTTCATATATGCCCCCTTGTATTCACACCTATGGTTCCTTTCACACCATGGGAGATTCATCTTAGGCCGAATCCTTCTTACCTTCCTCCAAGCCCATATTCTCTTGAATTTGATCCACAAATCATAGTAATTTAATGGGCTTTTCTCCATGCAATCTCACATTCATGTACCTCAATTATGGACTCAAATAACTTGCAGTTTGCTCCCTTAAAGCCTTAGCCTTTGCATGAGTTATTGGACCTTCCTCTTGAGCAGACTTGGCCTTGATGACCTCATCCGTCCTACCTCTTGAAAAGAATTTGCCCAAAAATCTGAATCATCATCCAGAAATGGTGCAAGATCATAAACATTGAAGGTTTCACTTATTCCATACTCTCTGGTAGGTAAAGCTTGTACGCATTATGCCCAACCTTCGAAATCACTTGGAAAGGACCTTCACTAACCTGCAGACACTTGGATCTCATTTGATGTGGA